ACAGCAACATGCATGATGATGGATGTGGCACGGGTTCTTGGTGTTGCCACTGCGGCTACCGCTGCTGCTTCTGCTGGTTCGGCTGTTCCAGGTGCTGCTGCTTCTCCTACGAGTAGCAGGAAGCGCTGCCCGAGGCGACCCGCTTTCTGGCGTATGCAGCTTTTGAACCTTTTACGGTGTTGAAAGTTCGACCTTGTTTGGATGAGACTAAAGCTCGCAGGCAAGGAAGTCTCGGCTAGCCTTCCGGTACAGTATAACATTGTTCCACTTCTTCCTTTTTCGTTGTTCGTGCGGGAAGAACAGTGCGTGTACACACTGCAGTCTTTCGGGTGCTTGTAGTCTTGTCGTAGTCTCGCTGAGAGCACTGTCATTTCCACACAAACTTCCCTCTCTGGCGAAAGCCAGGTCCGGACATAAAATAACGGTGCTAGTGGTCGTAGCCGTAGTAACGGTAGTACTAATACTATGCAGATCTTTAGGAGATTCGTCTTCAACTTTCAGTAGAGGACAGGCCGGAAGAAATAAGATCATCATCATCATCATGACCATCATCACCGGGTTCGCACATGTGTGCTTTTCCCGTTGCTACTACTCTTACTGCTTACCATTGCGACTACTAAACTGTCTAGCAGCAGCAACGAACAGTACCATAAGCAAGTGCACTATTGGTATCAATCGCAGTACTGGGCAATCAGAGCGATGGAAACAGCAAATGCCCACGCAGCCAGCTAGAGTTTTGCGTACGAATTATAGGGATGGCAGTAGTTAGTGCCGGAAGAGAATACTTGCAATGAGAGTAGAGCATGGTCGGGGCAATCGCACTTATCATAGCACAGTGGCCATGGCACGCCATTTTCTCGATCTGAGCATCGATGGGGGAGCCAACTGTCACCCGGCAGGGGTCGCACTGTGACTCCACGGCAGCACCGACGGGGACCGGCTAGCAGCTTCGTTCGTCAGGGCGCGGTGCCACAAAAGTCAGATTCAGTGCTTGGAATTGCAGTTTGTTCTGAAGAGCTGCGGGACCCTGGCTTCTGCCGCAAAACTGAAGCGTGGCCTGGCAGGCACAGCATGCAGTCTCTTTAGAAAGTTGGTGGGCCCGAAAGGGCCCTAGCAGCACAAATTCGCTGCTGGAACTCCTGCGAGCCAAAAGTTCCTCGACAGGGGCTCGAAACATGAAACCAGCGCTCGTGGATTCACGAGGCTTCAAGCGTCAAACTCACGACCAAGCTTCGACGGTGTAACCTGAAGCTTGCTTCTGATCTGCAGCACTCGATGATTGAAAGTAAAGAAGTAGAAACAAGACACGTGCGACTTCTGTCGACGAGCAGCGGCCCTCCATTTTCAAGTTGGAGAGTATTGCTTCCGCGTCTTCTTCGGCACACCTCTCGTGCGCCATCATCACCTGAACGCCAGAGCGCAAGAGCTGAATCACTGAAGACTCTCCAAGCGAGAAGCGACTCTCTCAAGCTCGAAGCTCGGAGTTCTGCCACCAAACAGATCGGGCCAGGCAAAAGTCTCGTGAAATCGGAGTCCAAGGCGAGGCCCCGCCCGGGCCCGGCCTCCTTCATGGCAGTGTAGATGTCTTCGGGCACTTGTCGCGCAGATCCGCAGACATAGAAATGCCCACCCTGATTCAACATCCTCTCAGCGACATCATTTCCCGCCTGGCACAGACAGGCCACTTCTATGTGAGCTGCAAGATCTGAACATTGCTACTAGTACGAGCACAATGTCTGATGCACTGTGGCAAGCACGGAAAATCCTACCAGGACCTATCCATAGAGCTGCCTCCACTATTCTGTGCTGCACATAGATCTTGCGTGCCTCGTCTCAGCATCAACTGCGACATTGCTCAAATGCCAAAATGCCAGGAGTGCACACCAGCCTGCTCGCGCGAGAAGGCCGTGTGCATTTGCAGCACGCCCTCCTTCTCGTAGCTCTCAAACTCCTCTCTGTAGAGCCACTCCTGCAAAATGCAACGGCCGTGAACGGCTCCAGTAAAAATGCCAGAACATGAACGCCGTACACTCTGCGGGCTCCTGCTTGTACCGGGCTCCGAAGAAGAGCATGCACTTGCCGACCTTGAGCCCTTGCCTGGCCTGCATCACTCGCTCCTGGCGACATCCCAGAGAGCGCACGCACGGGGCCTATCGGCTCTATAGTAAAATGAAACAGCATCAAGCTCCTGCGTCACAGCGCGCCACGGGGCCAATCCCGTGCCCATGCCCGCCATGATGACAGGTTTCTCCGGCTCCTAACAACCCCAGCACTCACAGCTCGGCTCGAGGTGCGCTTATGCTTGCAGCCGCGGCGTCCTTGGGCAGCACAATGGCGCTCGATCGCACGGCGCACATGATTTGTGCTCCCGGCTTCTGCTGCTGCATGTAGCCTGGCGTCCCATGGCTACACGCACGCTTAACTTCTCCACTATGCAAGCAACTTAGACTCAAAAGGCACTTGCTGAGTCGAGAGCACGCAAGAAACAGATCTCAAGGGTCTGTGGAGTGTTTGGGGTTTAGGGCCTCGAAAGTTTTGGAAGCGTCGCGTGCATGTGACCAGAAACAGTCAGGGGCATCTCCATCCCTCGACAGGTATGTGAAGCTCCCGTTTCCTGCTGGGCATGCGAACCATATTGCAAACCCAAAGCCTCAAACCCTTTCACCCTGAAACCCTGAAACCCTAAACCCGAAAACAATGAAGCCTTGACCCCCAAACTCCGAAACCCTAATGACCTTGATGAATCGAAAGCTGATGGCCTGTGCACTCGCCCAGG